GTGCCTAACAAGCACTTTAAACACCTCTACTACCAGCATTTTCTGAGTAGAATAAAGCAGAGCAGCATGAAAAAATAAAAACCGTTTCTCTGTGTCATCACCCACACCACTGTGAGATCCCAACAGCAAGATTAAGAAAGCATTTTGACTGAAGTGTAAAAATAATCTATGTATAGAAAGCCATATAATTAACTTAAAGCTGAGTTAATAAAGTTATCATATAACTTAGCATATTAAAGCAAATAAAACCTCAAGTTATGTCCAATCTTCAGTATATCAGAAAAAGTCTCAGGAACATGAAAGTAGTTAGAATAATTTTTTAACAATGTATAACTACATTGAGATAAAACCATTCACAATAAAGTGATGAGGAATTTAAACTAAAGAATATATTTTTCTTACCTATTTCTGAAGTTGTCGTTTCCTGATTTGGCTCATTATTTATTCCAGACACTACGGAGTCTAAAATTTTAGCTGAAATATTATCCTCCTTCCTTCCTGACATAAAATAGTTAGCAACAGATTAAAATATTATAAAAGATTTTGTGTTTGGTTGTTTTAGTTGGGATTTATAAGGGTTACACCAAGGTCACCAGCAAACTGTCTTGTCAACTAAATGGTCAATTCTCAGCCTCCACATGACTCCCCTCATTAGAGCCTGACAAGAAACTCCCTCTCCTTCCCTAACACTTTCTTCCTCTCCAAGTTTTCCTCCAACTTGTTGGCCTTCTGCTTCCTTTGCAAGAATGATCCTCCCTCCTCCTCCTCCTCTTCCTCCTCCTCGTCCTCCTCCTCCTCCTCCTCTTCTGACCTATGGGACCACAACAGGCTCCAGAGCTCACCATGCCCTTTCCTACCTACACACGCCCCTGGACCCATTACTGCACAAAGGTCCATGTCTGTAAACACCACTTGTATGCTAGAACTCTCCATTTTTTGTTTTTCCCTTCGGTTTCTCCAGCTCTCTCCTGATCTCCAAGTCAATACATCCAGTTGTCTACTAGATGTTTCTACTTGGTTGGTCCACAGCTATCTCAAATTTGTTGTCCAACACAGAATTCCTAACACTGCCACCCATTCCACCAACCAGTGTCTCCCAGAACCTTCCATGTCAATAAAGGCCAGGCCACCCCCTAGGAGCCCAGACCCCCCCAGAATGAATCTCATCTTTGATTCCTTTCCATTCAAACAAGTGGTGCCCCACCCATCAGCACAGTAAACCCAACCCGCTCTCAGCGCTGGCACTCTGGTCCCAACCCTCACCTCCTCTCATCCAGATGCCACGGCCCCTCCTCACTGCTCTGCAGCCTTTACTCCTGCCATGCCACAGTTTTAAAAGAAGGAGTTCTAAAACCTAAGTCAAATCTTGCCTCTGTGCTGCTTAAAACTCTTCAAGAACTTCTGTGTGCACTCACTGTAAACCACACAGCTGCTATGGACCGGGACCAGCAGCTCTGGGACCGGCAGCTCCGGGCCCTGCTTCCTGGCCCAGTCCTTTACCCTATCGCTGTTCCTCTCTCCACCCGCCTCACCACTCACACACCTGCATGTCCTCCTTCACCCAAGTCAGCTCTCTGTCCAGATGTCCTCCCTCGGAGAGGCCTTCCCTGCTCCCGCCCCTCATCCCTGCTCCTCTTGGCTTCATTTTCCTTGAAGATTCATCACAAACTAACATGCACATATGTACCCCTGTGTTCTCTTTATTATCATAAATGTCTGCAGAATCATTGAAAGAAAACTCAAATGGACAATTGAAGCCTGTGATTGACTCAGGATAGGAAATCCTCACCTGGCCAGGGGCAGCGCTGCATGGGGCCAACATGTCCCTCTGCCCCCTCTCCACTCCGGTCAGAAGGCAGTGTTCCAGAGCTCAGGCCCCAGGTCAAGGAGGGCCACACCTATGCCAACCATCCCCGCAGACTTCCACGTGTTCAGTGACCAAGTAGAAGCAAAGGACCAGGCAGTAAAGGTTTCAACTCTCAACATTCACTCACAGCCTCCACTGTGGTTCACTGAGCTTACCGAGCTGTTTCATGCTATGTTCCTTCTTAGCTTTACAGTAGGAAGAGTTATGTTCTTTTTCAGGGGAAAGACTATTTTCACTGGTTTTAGGGTCCCTTCTTCCTGACATAAAATAGCACAATGAAAATATATATTAAACTTAATCTGTAATGTAATGTAAAACAGTTCACAAACAAATGAAATTAAAATATACTCATTAAGGCAAAGTGATCAGCTCTGTATGCACTACTTAGAAATAAGCAAAAATTATAATATTCTTGGGCAGAATGCTTTCTGGATTCTGCAGGGATTCCAGAATGACTTTAAGAGTCTAAGTATGTTTACCAATGTGATACCCTCACACCCTGTAGTAAAGGCTCATTCATCCCCTCGAGCAGAACACAGAGCTCCAGTGTCTCACACACCTCTGGGTACGCCAGTGTCTCACACCTCTGGGTGCGCGTGTCTCACACACCTCTGGGCTGCCAGTGTCTCTCTGGAGTACGCCAGTGTCTCACACACCTCTTCTCACACACCTCTGGGTACTCCAGTGTCTCACACACCTCTGGGTACACCAGTGTCTCACACACCTCTGGGTACTGGGCGTTTGCCCAAATGTGAACCTACTTAAGCAAGGCAGAATGTTCAGGCAGAGTGCCAGCTTTGCTGGGGGACCCACAGGGAGGTCAGTGCCCAGCTAGCAGGAGAGGAAGACAAGAGTCCACTGAGCTGTTGACAGCTCAGGGAATCTCAGTGTCAAAAAGCCCATAAATGTCTGGTAATAAAATCTCTTAAGATCATACAAAAGACCCCTAGAGCACAAGCTCACCTGTAAACACAGATGCACATATCGCAAGCGATTAGAAAAGAAGGGACAACTGTCTGCTTAGGAAAGCCAAAAGAATCAACAAAAGAACTACTGGATTAAGAGGCAACAACAGGCCAGGCACGGTGGCTTAGGGCTGTAATCCCAGCACTTTGGGAGGCTGAGGTGGGCGGATCACTTCAGGTCAGGAGTTCAAGACCAGCCTGGCCAACATGGTGAAACCCTGTCTCTATGAAAAATACAAAAAATTAGCTGGGCGTGGTGGCATACACCTGTAATCCCAGCTACTCGGGAGGCTGAGGCAGGAGAATCTATTGAACCCGGGAGGCAGAGGCTGCAGTGAGCCAAGATTGTGCCATTACACTCCAGCCTGGTGACAGAGTGAGACTCCGTCTCAAAATAAATAAATAAAATAAAATAAATAAAATATAATAAACCAGTGAGCAACCACTGTGACCAACAGACATATCCAAGCACGTGCAACGTGTTCTCGGAAGAGGGGAACACCTTCACGAAGCTGAAGTTAGAGGTGTCTAATCTTCCTAAACTAATGAATGCATATATTTAACACAAATCCAATTAAATTCTGAGACATTTGTTTATTTTGCAAGAGTGGAATTCCTGAGTCATGAAGTGCTTTTAAAATTCATCCAGAAGAATAAGCAAATAAGATGGCTTAAAACTTTTCTGAAAAGAACAGTGATAGGAAACTAATAGTAAAAATAAAACAGTAGAGGTAAAAAACACCACACACAAAAAAGCCCATAACCCAGACTACAAAAGGCATCACAGAGCAGGAGAGAAGCGTTCAATTAAGAAGTGATCCTGGAATTACTGACGAATTATTCTGACAAAATAGATTCAGAGCCTCACCTTATACCATGAAGTAAAGTAAGACAGAACATAAGAAATTAAGTAAAAAAAAGTATGATAAAACACAAATCTTCACCTCTCAAATCTCTGGACAGATTACCAAAAAAAAAGATTAGAGGCCTTAAGCACATAACAATTTAACACCCAGGCAAATCAGAAACCAAACCAAATGTAATTAGTAGAAACAAACTGAAAAAGAAACACTTATGCAAAAATTGGCAAACTGGCAGATGTCCTTAACATACAGTATGCGCATGCAAATCAGCAAGAATGCAGACTTCAGAAGTAAGAAGAACCCAGGGAAACCAAAGAACAGGCAGGTCAGAGAAGCCCAAAACATTCACACACGACAACAATTTCCATTTCATTAATAATCAACTTTTTTGTTTTTCGTTCATCAAAATCAGCATGCCTTTACAACACTGGAGAAGGTGTGGGGTGAACGGCCATTGAGGGCGCGCAGTAGCCATAATGCCATACCCTTTGTGCCAGCCACTGCGCTTCTGGACACCCACCCCACAGCGTTCAACCAAAAGACAACAAAGGCTTCTAGCACAAAGCTGGTCACAAACGCATTACTAATTAGTGTGCACAAGTGGAACCTACCATTTAAGTCTCCTTTCTAAGGGAAAAATTCCCACTACTACATCTTGCCACCCTTCTTTAACTTATACAATTTAGGAAAAGGATTTTTCAGAAACGAGCACTGCTCATTCAAAGTAACTTCATACTTCAACGAAAAATAAGCCTCCAACACCAGTGGCCTCCAACAGGGCTTCCCTGCATTTGCCTGGCGCTCTTGTGTTAGACAGGATTGTGAGGTACTATCCTTCAGCAAACCGTAGGCCAGGCCTGCATGTTCGACTTTCAGCATGACTTCCAATCATAATTTCTGTGGTTTTTAAACACATAAACATTATCTCCCTACATGCTCTACGTCCAACCTGCACAAGGATTAAATGTAGGCTGCCAACACAAAGGACACAACTACTGAAACGAAGATGGCGAAGTATTTCTGGAAAATGAAAATTTGATCACAACTTTTACATTTCAACACAGATCTCCAGCAAAGAGGGGCTACTCTGCCCTGATGTCATCAGCTCACACACTTCTGCACACAGGCATGTGTATGTAACAGCCACAAATCTTCGTTATTTCCACACGCTATTCATTCCCAGATACAGTAAGTCTGTTTTCCAGCCACAGGAGTTCTTTCCTACTAGACACTGGGATCAAGACAAAAAAAAAAACAAAAAACTAATATCCATAGTTTCAGCTACATATGTAAGTTTTGCAGTACCTTCCACTGAATTTTTGGATCGCCGTTTTGATGTTTTTGTTGTCAATGACTTGGATGCTCTAGTGGAAATCTCAGTCTTAAAGAAAAAAGAATGAAAATAAATTAATTGATGCATTACACAGCAATATCATAAGCAGGTTTACTTTTCAAGCTCTGCTTGAGGAAGAACAAGTATGAAATCCAGCAATAGTGCCCATATGCTTTAAAAACTCAGTATCACTAAGGACTTAAGACCTGAGAGTGCGAATTACACGTAGGCCAAAAGCCTTTTCACACTATATTTAGAATTCCATCATTTTGTGCAGCCCTAAAAAGGTCAACAATCTGCTCACCACACTTTGAGAAGCACCGTCTTATCAGTTGTGCTTATGAGGACTCCACTTCTGTTGCTATATACTTAATTACTTAAATGCACTTGTAAGCAACTCTGAAGGTAAAAATTTATATGTAACAGAACACTAACCAAAGGAAACAGCACATCCTATTCCTCCTTCCACTGGCACAGTTCCAGTCTTACCACCTCTCTCCTCTAACTAGCCCCCCAGCCTCTACTTGATGCCTAACCCAGCTCCCCTGCAGCCTCATAAATACTTCCTGAAATGTGAATTGGACTACAAAAGTTGGCTTCAACCTCTCAGTGGCCCCTACTGCTTGGGATGAGTGTAACCTCCACAAGATGGCCCATGTGGAGACCGTGGCGAGCCCCAGGAAATGCATCGTGGAGTCCTGAACAGGCCAACCAGAGGTTGGAGGGGTCCCTCCCACTGGCCCCATCTGCCTGGTGACTTACGCCTCTTCCAGACTCATCCTGAGTGCCACCTCCCCCTTCTCCCCAAAATGACAACCCTATCACACCACACATCACACTAGTCATATAAAGGCATACGTAAACCCAGGAGTGCCCCACAGAAAATCAGAGAATACATACCCCCATCTATTTTACCAGGAGGTAAAGCATTTAACTCATTACTTTTACAACCAAATAAAATGGACCTATTACAGATAGGCCATGACCATGTGCTCCTTCCATGCCTCAGTGGACCAGGGGAGCACACAGCATTTACTGTTTCAACCCAGCTACAAGTTGACATCTCTTAAAGTTATTTTTTAAAGTTTACCTCTGTTTCAGCCTTGGAGTCTTTAAAAGTTCCATCTGACAACTTTTTAGACATCTCCCCTGAGCTTGCTGACTATTAAAAAAAAAAATAAAAGTTCAAACTTTAGAATTATTCCAATCCGTAATATCTAAAAATATGCCAAGATATTTTCTGTAACACTGACCAACAGTGAAATCATTCTTCCCATGAGAACACCACATCGCCAATCCAGCTCTGACTGCCACGACTGTTACTGCTGCCTGCATTCCCCAAGAGTCTTCCAAGCCAATGGCAGGGAGATCTCTTCCCATAAGCGCCAAGTAGGTGGGCAAGGACTTCAGATATTCCTGCCTCTCAGGAAGCTATACGAACACGAATGCCTATGCCACACCGAACGTCCTGGAAACATACTGCAGGGAAGCCTAGGGATCTGGAAGTGAGGGAGGGAAGGAACAATATAAACCTCCAACACCCACAGAGAAACTGCTCCTAGCAGCCTCTGCTGATCACAGGCTAACTTCAGTAACAGAACGGGGCAATTCTTTTTAAGCAAAGGCTTCAGACTGTAAGTGAGGAAAGCACTCTCATAACATAAACTACATGAAAACCGTAAACACCATCTCATCTCACGCCTTAAATCACTTCTCTAGAAGACATATCTCAGAGTAGAAGGAATAGAACACATTATCTTCATTGAGATTTTCCTCCAGGAAGACTGAAAAGCAAAGAAAGCCTGTTCAATATTTCAACAATTCAATGTCCTCATAAGTTAATTATGAAGGCATCAGATTTTATCAGCAGTAATTACCCATGACTGTAGGTTGGGCACTGCGCACGTGCTACCCATAAAAGAGGCAGTTAAGAGAGGGGCCTGGGACCCCCACATGGCCAGTCTAACCTAGCACCTGTCCTCTCCACTGCACTCTTAATTTTCCGAGTGTTTTCATATCTACTATTTCACTTCTTCTTCGCAAAAGCCCATGAGGTAGCCTAAGATCTCATCAGCCTCTCAACTAGACAGAAATAAAATGGGGAAGAGGATAAAGAATGACTGCGGCAGAACCGGGGTTAGAACTTGAGTCTCCTGCCTCCCCAGCATAGATGTGACTAGGGTCCCTGGGAACCGGGGTTCCTTGGGAGGCACCTCACAGCAGCCCACACCTGCCTGGCGCTTTTTACCAGAGGAAAGGATGCAGCTGCCTCCCAGACCCATGCGGCTCAATGAAGCCCCCAGATTGTCCACAGAAGAGCCTGGCAAACAAAACCACCATGTGAGATCCACGCAAATCTCACGGCAACCAAGTAAGCACCAGCTTTGCGTAGGAAAAAATCACTTCGCCACGGTCTCAGACGCTCTTAAATAAAACCATCATTACACTTGGCTCTGATATGTTCCCAAATATCAGCCTCTAAGAATTTCTTTTTGTTGTTGTTGTTGTTTGAGACAGAGTCTCGCTCTGTCACCAAGGCTGGAGTGCAGTGGTGTGATGTCAGCTCACTGCAACCTCCGCCTCCTGAGTTCAAACAATTCTCCTGCCTCAGCCTCCTGAGTAGCTGGGACTACAGACGCATACCACTACACTTAGCTAATTTTTGTAATTTTTTTTTTTTGGTAGAGACAGGATTTCATCACCATGTTGGCCAGGAAGGTCTCGATCTCGTGACCTCGTGATCCACCCGCCTCGGCCTCCCAAAGTGCTGGGATTACAGGCGTGAGTCATCATGCCCAGCTGAGCCTCTAAGAATTTCTTTGGAATGGTTTCTCTCTACTTAAAAAGCCAGTCATCTCATTAGCAGTTTTAGGGAACATAATGTGGGGACCCCCAATCCGAAGGCCTTGAGAGCTGAGGAAGGTTGGCCCCTTCCTAGGCTGCCTCATGCACAGCAAAATACACCAGAATATACTGGTGCCTCAGAAAAATCAGGTCCATGAAAAATACTTTTTCTTACACCTCTAAAAAGGAGCAAAAGATGGGGAATGTCTTTGTAATTTCTAAGACTCATAAGGAAAGCCAGGTTATGACACATATCATACAGTACATTACTCTAGGATGTGCAGTGGAGGGGGAATGAGTGACATTTTAAATAGTAAAACTCCAAAATGCCCCATAGAACACTACGTTCAATTATGAACAAAACCACAATCTTGCCCGATAGGCACCCCCTATCCCATTGTGACCCACAGATCTCAAAACGGGCTTGTACTGACCCCCACAGGAAAGCCTGGTTTACAGGATTCCCCTCAGGGTCAGTCCTGTGGCACCCACCCCCTTCCCCTGGGCAGGCACACCCTGAGACGCAGTGCCACAAGACAAGATGGCTGTCCCAGGAGGAAGAGGCCATGGCACCAACTCAGGCCCTGCCCCTCACTGCCCGGCCGGATCAACTGGGCAGATCTGGATCCCTTCCCGACCTCAGTGTCCTCCTTCCTAGCAGCTGGAGACAAGATGATTTCCAACGTCTTCGCAGGATGCTTTACAATTTTACATTCCCCAAAGAATGGGTGTCTGGGAAAACATCCCCAACACATATGGTGGGTCCAGAAGGCATTCACACATTTAGAAAACAGTTTGAAACCAATAGGATTTTCTAGCAAACCCTAAATTTACCTGAAAATTTAATTAAACAAGAATTACAGTAAACTCCGGTCTTATTGTGCTTATCTGCTAATGCCTAAAAGCCCCTGAAAGCAGCCCTAATCTTTAATAACTGAGCAATGTCCATGCTCCTAAAGACATCACATGCACAACTCAGACTGCACATAAACACTGCTTGCAGTGCTAAGGTGGAGGCTGCTCCAAAGCCTTCAGAGCAATACTAAGAGTGACACAAACGACACGCATGGGAGAAGCCACACATCTTAAAACACCTGCGAGACAAGGACAAGAGCAACGTGGCAAATCAGCTCAAACTCTGAAAAACGTTGATTTCTCTACAGGCCTGGTGGGGAATCATTAAACTCTAAAAAGAGCAAGCATTTAATAATATTTTCCTGACTTCCCCCTTCAAAGTATCTTCTACCACTCCCAGATCAAAATTCCATAAAGGGAGACCTCAGAAACCACTATCAATTGATCGATTTCATCCAATGTTTCCTGATCTGAAAAGCCCATCACCCCTTGCCTGGATGCTCAATCCATTCCACCACCAGGTATTTACTGCAAAGCTGCTGTGTGTCAGACACTCTTCCAGACTGGGTATCCAACAGTGAACATGAGTGAAATCTCTGGCTTATGCTCTTAGGGAGCTTATAATCCAGCAGACATCTCCCTAGACATTAAGTAGGAAATGGTTAAAAACTCACTGAATAATGCCTTAATAAATGATTGGCTGAATAATAAACTTCTATTAAGGGATGAACCAAAAAAACCCAAAACACAACTGACAAGAAATAAGCGTCTCTTTGGGTTTCTATTGAGAATCCAAGATTGTCGTAATTTTAAATAGGCATAAAAGAAAACCAGTTTCCTAGTCACATTGTAAGAAAGATAAAAATCATGTTTGAGACCACCACAAACTCTTGCTAAGCAAAAGGTGAGGTTTTCAGGAGACTGTACCTTTTTCTCGGGTTTGTCATGCTCTCTGTTCTTCTCCCTGTCCAGGTCCCGGGAGTGCTCCCCGTTTTTCACTCTCCGTCTGTCCCTGTCCTTCCCTTTGTCTCGGTCACGCTCTCGGTCCCTGTCTCTCAGTCTCTCCTTCTCTTTTCCCCCCTCACTCTTTCTCTCTGTCTCCTTCTCACGCTCGGAGTCTCTGTCCCGCTCCCTGTTGCCTCTGTCTTTCTGTCGCTCGCTGTCTGGCCTGGCCCGGGCTTTGGCTCTCTCTCTCTCCCCTTCTCTGTGTCTGTTTCCGCCATTCTCCTTGGCCTTCCCCTTGTCCTTGTCCTTTTCTCTTGGCTTGCTGTCTTCTTTCAATTCTTCTTTCTGTTTTCGATCTCTGCTTGTACTTCTCTCTTTTATTTCAGCGTCTCCTCTATCCTACGAAATAAAAATAAAATCATTTATGAACGTTTTTACCTAAACTACAAAAAGACTCACTATTTCATTTCCAAAGACGTGCGACTTGCAATTCACCTCTGTATTTTTGTGAACTCTGGACTCCTCTTCTCGCACATTCTTATTATCCAACTCCTGAGATCTTGAGGTCAGTGAGGCCCGGCCTTTCACTTCTCCCTTCTCTCCAGCTAAAACCCTCCGTACCGCATCGTCACTGGAGAGCTTGTCATCCAAATGGAAGGAAATGAGGTGTTAGGTGAAATGAGATCCACACACGTAACAAATAGAACATCGCCATTCAAAGATAGCTCATGAGACAGATTCTCTGTCTACAATGAAATTCAAAGGGTAAAATATTTTTTGAACATGTTATTATCACATACAAAGCACAGCATATCTTGATAACTATTACTTTCAGCACTTTGGTCATTAACAGTAGCATCCACCCAAGCTAAATGAATCCTGGTTCAAGTCTCCCCAAGTTGTCAAATGTGAATGTGTGTGTTCAAGGTCAATAAAGCTGACCCATGCCTTAAACTTCTAATGGGATCGTAGAATCCCAGCCATAAGTGCCTTAAGATTTTATCTAACCACCTCACACCCATTAGGATGCTGCTCCTAAAAAAAACACAAAACAACAAGCATTGGCAAGGATAAGGAGAAATTAAAACTCACATGCACTGTTGATGGAAATGTAAAATGATACAGCCATTATGGAAAACAGTATAATAGTTCCTCAAAAAATTAAGCACAGATTTACCATATGACCCAATAATTCCCCTTCTGGGTATTTATCCAAAAAAATGGAAAACAGGGTCTTGAAGAGATATTTGTATATCCATGTTCATAGCAGCATTATTCATAATAGCTAAAACGTGGGAGCAAACTGTACCATTGACAGTTGAGTGGATAAACAAAATATGGTATATCCATCACAATGGAATATTATTCAGCCCTAAAAAGGGATGAAATTCTGATACATGCCACAACATGGATAAATCTTGAGAATGTTATATTAAGTGAAATAAGCCAGTCAAAAAAAGGACACTCTATGACTCCACTTATCCGAGGTCCCTAGAGTAGTCAGATTCATAGAGACAGAAAGTAGAATGAAGGATGCCAGGGGCCGGGGAATGGGAGAAGAGGAAGTTAGTGTTTCATGGGGACAGAGTCTGTTTTGCAAGAAGAGTCCTGGAGATGGAAGGTGGTGATGGCTGCACATGACTGAATTTACCAGCACTGAAGTGTACACTTCAACATGGTTAAGATGGCAAATTTTATGTTATAGGGATTTTAACACAATAATAAAATTATGGGGGGAAAAAACTGATCTAATTCAAGCCCCGTCAAATGCAAAAATTCCTTCTCCAGCATCCTGACAGCCATCCAGAGTGTAGGACACCTCCAGTCAGGAGTCCCACTCACTCAACGCACTCATTCCACAAGCACACGCTGAGTGACTGCCACATGCCAGGCTCCATTTAGGCCGAAGACACACCATGTACTGGGGGATACAGACAAACACAACAATTAAACAACAGGCTATAGGAAGCCTACAGGGGCACCTAAGTCGGCCTGGGAGGGAGGAGAGGCCCAGGCTCAAGGAAGCACTCACAGACGCCACATTGCTGCTGGGTGAGGCTGGAGGAGGAAGGCAGCTCAGGCACCAAGAAGCCAACAGGCACCAGGGCAAGAGGCTGATGGGAGACAGTGGCCAGGGCCGAATGCAAGGGTGCATGGTGACTGGAGTGGAGGGCTCAGGTGTGGGAAATGAGAGAAGGATCTGAAGGGAAAGAAGCAGCAGCAGGTCTCTAGGGGGCTCACAAGCTGTGCCATGGAGCTGGCTCGGCCCCAAGGCTACTGGAAGCCGGAGAAGATTCAGCAGAGGAGATAGGAGCCAGATGTGCTTTTTAAAAAGATGAACAACATAAAGGACCCGGGAAGGGGAGCTGGGGAGTCTAGGCACAGAGGCCAGTGTACTGGCAAAATCTGCTTCCAAGTCTCTAAGTTTGCATGCTGGACCTGCACCGGGGGGGCCTCCTAGGAGTCAGTCTGACACCACTATGCACCTCCACGACCCACTGCTGTTGAGGGGGCTGAAACCTACCTGTTCCCATTTGGGTCACATTTAAGGTTAGCCCCCAGACAACCACCCACTAGGTATGTGAAAAACTGTATTAATCATACTCTCAATACAAGTCCAACCTGCTCCTCCATGGGGGACCACTCAGCCTTCAAAAGAAGGAAGACCCTGGGGAAAGACCTTCTCCAACGTTTGGGCAAACATGGCCCAGGCTGGACCTAACCAGAGAAGCCTGAGGCCTGACACCCAAGTTTCTAGCCCACAGTGAAAAGCTCAGGAAGAAAAAAATCTACTCCCTGTACAACTGAAACAGCAACCGAGAGAGAGAGAAAGGGTTGAAGAGAGAGAGAGGAAGGGCAACAGACAAGCAGATACCAGAGGCTGGAGATGCAGGAAGAGAACAGAGACTCCCGTAAGACCCAGGGAAGAAGAAAAGCGCTCCTGCAGCCACTGCAGCCCCGGCTGGAAGCAGCCACCTGTCCTCAAAGGAGCCCCAGAAAGGAGAAAGCCAGAGCGCAGGGAAGCCTGGGCCTCCAGCCTCCAGCCACCAGCCGGGCAGAGTACCTGCGGGGTTCCCGATTTTATATTGAAAGCTTGCAGAACTTGCGTATAAGATACCCTTATTTGTCTCATCATTCAGTTTCAAATTACTCCTCCTATATCTCTGGGGCTCCAGAAGGGGTGGGATCAGATTCAAAGCACAGTGTTTGACAGATGCCACTGAAACTCCTTCCCTAAACCGCCCGCACATGTGAGTCCCTCACCCCCGACTACCTTTTACTCAAGTACTAAGTAAGTTCAAAATGCCAGGACAGCAGTAGTACCTTGTTGAGACAGCATTTTCCAATTATCTGGAGCAGCTCATTTGTTCTTTCAGGCTCATGCCCGGCCACAATTCGGGCTGGTTTGGCTGACAGTGGCTCTCCCGACACCATTACAACCACGTCTATGGCCTTTTGTAGGAAGCTAATTTTTGCATCTTTATCCTGAAATATTTCCATTGAAAATATAAATATTACAATACTTTGAAGAGTATGCATTATCTTCAGTATGTTCTACAGGCATAGGATAGTTTCTGTTTACATACGAAGCTATTTTTAGATATATAACAAATCTAGAAATACTAACCTTTTACTGACAAAACAAAAACAATTCATTAAAGCCTTTAATTTAGTTGATGGGCTAGCATTAATCTTTGAAATACTAATCCCATTTTTCAGTGACTAAAACGAGCATGAGATCCAGTTACCACAATGAGAAAATGAAATGAGGAAGGGTATATATCAATTCATGAATTCACTGACCTTGTATTCCAACCACATGCAGCACAGAAATGACACACGCCACACGACCCGGCCTACAAAAAATCCCATCCGTTAAGGCGAGGGGTCAACAGGAGAAGCCCGACTCACACCCACCTTCACATTATCAGACTTCATCTCGGCGTCTGTGTAGAGGCCCTTCATGAAACCAGTCATTCTAATCACCTTCAAGAGAGAAAGAAAGGCCACCAAGTCACTGCACAGACAGCCTCCTCATCAGCCTCATCCACTCAACTCCACACTTGGGAGATGTCAGAATTGACTAGCAGCCCAGACTTGAATCATCCACTTGCTCAAGAAACGTTTGATGTCTACTACACGTGTTGTGCAGGGCAGAAGCCAGCCAGATCCTCTCAGAACTTAGTCTGGCTGTGTGGACAGATGGGTGAAGATGACACCATGTAGGTACTAAGGAAGCACTCAGGCTTGGTACCTAATCTACAATCTGGGAGGGGCAGGGGTGGCAGGGAACCCTTCCTGGAGGAATCATACCTAGATGGGGACCAGGCTTACAGAAGAGTTGGGCAAGGGGGCATTTCAGATGCACATGCCAGACATAAGGAGGTCCACACACTGGGCGTGGTGGCTCATGCCTGTAATCCCAGCACTTTGGGAGGCCGAGGTGGACAGATTACTAGGTCAGGAGATAGAGACCATCCTGGCCAACATGGTGAAACACCGTCTCCACTAAAAATACAAAAATTAGTTGGGTATGGTGACACATGCCTATAGTCCCAACTACATGGGAGGCTAAGGCAGGAGAATCACTTGAAGCCGGCAAGCGGAGATTGCATTGAGCCGCTGCACTCCAGCCTGGCAACAGAGCCAGACTCTGTCTCAAAAAAAAGAAAAAAAAAAAAAGAAAGAAAGAAAGTCCACACAAGGTCCAGGACCCACAGAGTTCTGTGCAAGGGAAATGTAGGACGGCAGGAGCCTGAGGCCAGAGAGACACTCGGGGCCTGGTACAGAGGCCCTGTGAAGCCACTCAGGGATGTGAACTGAGCCAAAGGACCACAGGGAGGACCTGGAACAGCCTTTTACAAGAGTCCTTCAGGTGCAATGGAGGGAACAGATTCCAAAAAGAAAAGGAACTTTGGTTGGGCACAGTGGCTTATACCTGTAATCCCAGCACTTTGGAAGGCCGAGGCGGGCGGATCACTTGAGGTCAGGAGTTCAAGACCAGCCTGGCCAACATGGTGAAACCCCCGTCTCTACTAAAAATACAAAAATTAGGCAGACATGGTGGCGGATGCCTGTAATCCCAGCTACTCAGAAGACTGAGGCAACAGAATTGCTTGAACCCAGGAGGCGGAGGTTGGCGTAAGCCGGAATCGCACCACAGGACTCCAGCCTGGGTGACAGAGTGAGACTCTTTCTCAAAAAAAAAAAAAAAAGAAAAGGAATTTCTCAGCCTAGTTTTCTAAGACTAGAAGTTCTGCAAGGGTCTTTCTCCTCACCACGTGTCACTACTCACTTCTTAGGATGGTGGCAGGCTCCACACCCCATAGTTTTGGTTCTCTCCCCAGTCACCCCTTCCCTCAGGTAACCTGTACCTCTTAATTAGCCCTAAAACCAGCTTTTAGGACAATGATTTTTTCTGTTCCTCTCAACCCCCACACCCAGCCAGGGTCCTGGGTTCTTTCAAACTGAAATTTTTTGAAATGTAGTAGGTTACTGTAAAATCAATAAAATTTGTAGCAGCAAGCATTTTGAACAGCCGGGACCCTTACCAGCAGGCTGCATGGTATGTGGTAAGGACAGGTATGCCCACAGCCGTGTGTCCTAGGTCAGCTAATAAAGCATATTTATTACGGGGAGTTGTGTTTTACAAACAAGACAGTCCCATCCTAACGTCAGCCTCCTCTGGAATCAAGCCACAACTCCTTAATTTGCATCAAGTTAGGTATTAATTAATGTAAGAGTTTTCATTCCACACCACGCTATGTCAGAGCTGTACTACTATTTTTCTTGAGATGACAGGTAAAATATTAAGAGTATCCTGCATTTAACATTCCTGGAACATTTTCATTTTGTCCCTGTTGAGGTTTTTACAGGATGCTGGCAGTTAAAATTGTGAGCAATAGGCTGGGTGCGGTAGCTCATACCTGTAATACCAGCACTTTGGGAGGCTGAGACAGGCAGATCACCTGAGGTCAGGAGTTCGAGATCAGCCTGGCCAACGTGGCGAAACCCCATCTCTACTAAAAATATAAAAATTAACTGGGCACGGTGGCATGTGCCTGTAGTCCCATCTACTCAGGAGGCTGAAACAAGAGAATTGCTTGAACCCCGGAGGCATAAGTTGCAGTGAGTGGAGATTGTGCCACTGTACTCCAGTCTGGGCGACAGAGCAAGACACCCTCTATAAAAAAAAAAAAAAAAAAAATTGTGAGCAAAATAACTGTAAGTGACAAGAGACATTAACGTCACAGGATCCACACTTAGCTTAATGAAATGGGGTGGTTAGTTTAGCTATAGCTAAAATACTAATATAGTAATTTGTGTATAATATTCAGGACAGCAAGGCATTTTCATAAGAGGCTCTCCACCTATTATCTGAAAATCCTTTCCAATGTGTCAGTCATTCTAACATCTTTATCAAGTAGGTGACAATTTATTTATCTTTACACAGGGAGATAAATCAACTTTAGCATTAGATGAGGAAGTCTATGAGAGAAGAGCAGACCAGTCGTTCCTAATTGGGAACACGCAGCTCGTTCCACGCACCCTATCTACCTGGTCGGGAAAGCAATCCCTTTTTTTTTTTTTGAGACAGGGTCTTACTCTGTCACCCAGGCTGGAGTGCAGTGGTACAATCACGGCTCACTGCAGCCTCAACCTTCCAGGCTCAAGCAATCTTCCCTACTCAGCCTCCTGAGTAGCTGGGATTACAGGTGCACCACCACATTCAGCTAATTTTTGTATTCTCAGTAGAGATGGAGTTTTGCCACAGGCTGGTCTTGAACACCTGGGCTCAAGTGATGGGCCCGCCTTGGCCTCCCAGAGTGCTGGGATTACAGGCGTGAGCCACAGCACCCAGCCCATATTCTTCCTCCTCTCCCATTAGGATGCCTCTGACCAACCATGTGGTAGTGACTGGACAGCCACCGTGAGCTGAGCGCCACCACTGCCCCACAAGGATAAGGCACACTCCCCGCGCCTCCCTCTGCATTTCAGGGCTCTGCATTTCAGGGCTCTGCATTTCAGTGGGGCAGACAGGGCTGGGAGAATAAAGGTTTTGGCAGCCACAGCTATAGCTGGCTGGGCTCACATTGGCTCTTGTTCCCTCTCAGGTACCTGCCTATTTCATGGGACGGTGGTGATGCGGCACACTGTCCTGCTCCCACCGGGCTATCCACACAGCAGGTCCCCTCCCCACACACTGTCCAGGACAGGCTGTAAGTGCTGCACCAGCTGGGAGGACGTGACCAGGGCTGGCAGTGCCTTGGGATGTGGGTGGATTCGAGAGCATTTTTAGGCACTGTTTTAACACAGAGGCACACGCTCCAGCCCACAAGTTATAAGCTAAGGTAGGAGGGCAGACCCAGTAAAGCAAAGTCTCTGCAAGAATAAGGCACCCAATCTGTTGAAAAGAGTGAGAAACAGAGCTTGAGGACCATCACCAGGTGAGGTCATGAGGCCCTGGAAGTCTGTAAGTCCAACCTGAATCCTAAATCCCAAAACACACCTCTGAGTTCCCACGTGCCCTTGGGTCCACCATGGAAATGGGTGCTGCACCCCCTGCAGTGACGCTCCTAAGAGTTACCAGGGAGTTACCACAAGCTTTGACAGGTCGCACTCAACAGGGGATGTTTGTTGTGCAATTTCTATGTACCTTACCCAGTGCAGATCACCAGAGCCATACTAATAAGCAAGCCAGGGTCTCCGTCACTGAGGAGCACACCATCTGCAAATGGGGAAAAGCTACAGAGACCACTAATCTCAATTTAGGGCAGGGTGTGCCGCTCTGTTAGTTTTTCCTGCCAAGTCTCCCTACCACCACCTCCACTAAATTCACCCACAGGCATTTATTAAGCACCCAAAATGTGGTATGGAGGGAAACTTCGGGGCAGAAGGCTGTATAAAAAATATTATTTCCATTCTCCCAGGATTTAGCCTTTCACGTGCTAAATGCTTCAGAGCAAGTGAGAAGGGTTCTGCAGGGTTAGATGAGGCGGGAGTCACAGAAGCAGCTCTGCCAGGCAGAATGGAAGATGCACTCTAAGGAGACACACGGGCAGGCAGGGAAGAAGTAATGGTCCCCGAGGGCTCGGAGCCTCCTTGTAAGCGGCGGCCCGGAGCCGGGGGAGGGGCAGGACCTCCGCGCGGAGGGCGCCGCGGAATTGGGCCTACAGGCCGGGCTCCCGGGCAGGGGCCGCACAGAGCTCTCGCCCCGACCCCGGAACTCACCCCGGTCCCCGACGCGCACCCTGTGCCCGGCCCACACCCGGTCCACACCCGGCCCTGAACCAGTCCCCGACCTGCACCCCGAGCCCGGCCCACACTCCGTTCACACTCGGCGCTGACCCGGTCCCCGACCTGCACCTCGAGCCCGGCCCACACCCGGTTCACACCCGGCCCGGGCCCCGACTCCGGCCCAGCCCCGGCCCCCGACCCGCAACTGAGCCCGAGTCCGGCTCACACCCGGCACCACCCGGCCCGGGCCCTGACCTCGGCGCCCACCGGAACCCCGACCCGCACCTGGCCGGGCCCGGAACCCGGCGCCCACCTCTGTGATGATGTCGTGCAGGTAGCGGAACGGGGGCTTGCTCAGCAGCTTCTCTGTCAGCGGCGGCCTCCGTATCACCTTCCCCAGCGCCTCCTGCGTCCGCCTCACCACCGCCGCGTTCATGACGGCGCCTGCCGCCCGCTGGCCGCCTGCGTCCTCAGCCGGCCCGGCCGAGCCTAAGCCCGGGTCCCTGGCCGCCGCCGGCCCCGCCGCCGCCGCCCGGTCCCGCCAGGACGCGCCGCTCCGGTTTCCATCCCACAGTGCACCGGAGCCCACCACAGCGCCTGCGCGGCCGCCGCAGGGCGTTCGGTCGCTAGGGCTGCGCGGCCTTAGCAACGGACGCGCCGCGGTGCCCCGCCCCCTGCCCGCAGTCCCCCGCCCGCGCAGGCAGGATCGCGGGTTCCGCGGGAGGGGTTTGGGGGTTGGGGGCCGTGCCCGCTCAGGCGTGGCGCGGCGGGGCGGGGAAAGGGGATCTGGGATCCGGCGCCTGGCCCCTCCTCTGCCCAGTGACGGCCTCGGGAAGCGGGTATTCGCTCGCGTTAGAGGCGACTGCCTGAGGACTGATTAAGAACAAGGTAAACTCCAAGATCTGTGCCTCCTGTTTCCCAGATCTCAAGGGCTTTTGCAGGCACTGGTTCATCGGAGGGGACGGTACTAAGTTATCCCAAAACACACGGAATAGAAAATACACTGTCCTGGCTGGTACTTAATAAGGCTTCTTGGGCAAGTCACTTCTTTTCTCTGAGACTCTACTTCTGTTCCTACAAAGCAGGGCTAGTGTGCCCCCTGCCTAACCTACCTCCCAGGAAAGTAAATAGTGACTAAATGCTGTGTCGTGCTCTGAAACCGGGACAAAGCCATGCCCCGTTGTCCTACTAGGTGTCTGTGATTCTTTCCCACCTGTCCTCTGTCCATCATGCACAGGCCCACCGCAGAAGTCCTTCCAGCGATGTGAGAGCTCTGGGGTCTGTAGTTCTTCTAATGAACACTGTTATCACTCTTTTTTTTTTTTTTTTTTTTTGAGACGGCTTGAGTGCAGTGGCACGATCTCGGCTCACTGCAAGCTCCGCCTCCTGGGTTCACGCCATTCTCCTGCCTCAGCCTCTGGAGTAGCTGGGACTACAGGCGCCTGCCACCTCGCCCGGCTAATTCTTTTTTTTTTTTTTTTGTATTTTTAGTAGACAGGGGTTTCGCCGTTGTTAGTCAGGACGGTCTCGATCTCCTGACCTCGTGATCCGCACGCCTCGGCCTCCCAAAGTACTAGGATTACAGGTGTGAGCCATCGCGCCCAGCCTTTTTTGTTTGTTTGTTTGTTCGTTTTGAGATGGAGTCTGACTGCCCAGGCTGGAGTGCAGTGGCGCGATCTTAGCTCACTGCAACCTCCACCTCCCAGGTTCAAGTGATTCTCCTGCCTCAGCCTCCTGAGTAACTTCAGGCCCCAGACACCACACCAGCCTCGCTTTTGTATTATTAGTAGAGACAGGGTTTCACCATGTTGGCCAGGCTGGTTTGGAACTCCTGACCTCAGGCAATCTGCCACATCAGCCTCCCAAAGTGCTGGTATTACAGGCGTGCGCAACCGCCCCCATTATAACTTTTTAATTGACCTTCATTTTTACCATTTTCAGGGCTCCTCATTTTTTGTGGAGATCTAAATCTCCATCTGGTGTCATACCCCTCCTGTCTAAAGAACTTCCTTTAATATTTCTTCTAGCACAGTTCAGCTGGTAATGGAAAAGTTATACAGACAACCAATTTCAATGCCAGCCAGGCTGTGTGGTTTATCAACAAATACTAAATTGCATTTTTATAGTTTTCCTTCCATATCCCCCTATAACCACCCCCAATAAATTCAGCCACAAATATTTATTAAGCATAGAAGTACAGAATTCTAGGGTTGGGAGGCCGAGGCAGGTGGATCACCTGAGGTCAGGAGTTCGAGACCAGCCTAACCAACATGGTGAAACCCCATCTCTACTAAAAATACAAAATATTAGCTGGGTGTGGAGGCAGGCAACTGTAATCCCAGCTACTAGGGAGGCTGAGGCAGGAGAATTGCTTGAACCCAGGAGACAGAGGTTGCAGTGAGCTGAGATCACGCCACTGCACTCCAGCCTGGGTGGCAGAGTGAGACTCCATCTCAAAAAAAAGAATTCTAGGGGTGCAGTGGCTCATGCCTATAACCCCAGCACTTTGGGAGGCTGAGGCAGGCAGATCACTTAAGGTCAGGAGTTTGAGACCAGCCTGGCCAACATGGTGAAACCCTGTCTCTACTAAAAGTATAAAAATTAGCTGGGCATGGTGGTGTGTGCCTGTAACCCCAGCTACTTGGAAGGCAGAAGCATAAGAATTGCTTGAACACAGGGGGTGGAGGTTGCAGTGAGCCAAGATCGCATCACTGCACTCCAGCCTGGGCAACAGAGCAAGACTCTGTCTTTAAAAAACAAAACAAACAAACAAAAAGTATAGCATTCTAGATTGACCGTTTTTGTTTTTGTTTTTCAATACTTTAAGGATGTTACTCCATTGACTTCTGGCTTGCATAGTTTCTGAATAAAAGTCCTCTGTAATTCTTTGTTCTTCTGTCTATTGTTTCTGGCTGCCTTCAAGATTTTAATTATTGGTTTGCCAGAAGTTTGCACATGGTATATCTAGATGTGGGGGTCTCTTTTACCTAAAATTTATATTTTATTATTTACATACAATAAAATTCATAGCTGTTAAGTGTGCAGGTTGATACATTTTGGTAATTATATACAATTATGTTACCACCACCATAATCAAAATGTAGAACAGTCCCTGCACCCTACAACATTTCTTGCTGCTTATTTGCAGCCCATCTCCTTCCCCACCCCGGCCCCAGGCAGCCACTAATCTGGTTTCTGTCATTATAATTTTGCCTCTTCTAGAATGAATTTCTTTTTTTTTTTTTTTTTTTTTCTTTTGAGACGGAGTGTTGCTCTGTTGCCTAGGCTGGAGTGCAGTGGCATGATCTCGGTTTACTACAACCTCCATCTCCCGGGGTTCAAGTGATTCTCCTGCTTCAGCCTCCTGAGTAACTGGGATTACAGGCACCTGCCATCATGCCCAGATAATTTTTGTATTTTCAGTAGAAACGGGGTTTCACCATGTTGGCCAGGCTGGTCTCGAACTCCTGACCTCAGGTGATCTGCCTGCCTTGGCCTCCCAAAGTGCTGGGATTACAGGCGTGAGCCACGGCACCTGGCCCCTGTCGGTCTTTTTTAACGTTCGTCTTTCTGTGGGTGTGGAATAGTGTCTTGTTATGGTTCCTATTTAGATTTCTGTAGTGATTAGTGATTTTGAGCATATGTCCCTGCCCTTGCTAAATATTCATATATCTCTAGTGAAGATACCCCATCAAGTATCATTCAAGCATTTATCGAATCACTGCTATGTATGGATTATTGTCTGGGTGCTGGGGATTTAATGGGGAATTAAGACCTTCTAGGAGGCAACGTCCATGCTGTCCACTGGTCCTAGGAACATCACTCCTCATGCTGCTAACTATATCCAGGACCAAGTGAGCTTTGGTCACCTAGACAGAAGCCAGATGAAAGGCACCAGGGCTCATCCCCTTCTAACTGTCGGCCTCCCTTCCTCCCGTACTGCACCTTGCAGGTGGGCTGGCTGTGTGAGACTCGGCCGAGAGGCTGGGAGACACCTAAGAGAGAGACAGCCCATGATGGAGGGAATTTAACGACACTCATCATGTAGACCCATCCCATGCTCCGTGGGGAAAACAAGCCCCCAAGGAGTTTCACCCTCAGAGGGATTCCATCTTGGCTCCTCTCTGTTTATAACCCTGCTCCTTGGCCAAAGCACCACCAGCCTCTGACCCCTGCCTCATGAAACCTTCCTGACTCTGGAAACTCCACTCCCAACCCACAGAAGCTTTTGTGGTTTTCCATCCATCCCCTTTCTCTCAGCACTACACTTCCCAGAGTATGTGGTCTCCAGTCCAGACTCACACCATCCCAAGGACCTCAGCAGGACAGTCCACTGTGACATTTGGCACTGCAGTCCCTTGGAATAGTCCAGGATGACAGTGGACACTGAATCACGCTCCTTCTAGGGCTCCCAAATTCCCGTCCTTCTCCTGATTGTCCACACGCGTCCTTATCACACACATACCTCCTTCCCAAGAACAAGCATTAATTAAACAGTTCATCAAACCCCATAAAGAAAAACAAAACAGTTTCCATACTGCCCTGTCATTTGCAAACATCCCCCACCCAGTGAAACTAACACTTCCCATGAACGTGGAGAATGGTGTTAGCTCCCTTCACTCCTTCATTCCACCTTTCCTGCCCACCATCCACCCCCTCCTTAGGCCTCCCTGAAAGTTTTTATAGGGCAGGAGCATGATGAGACTGTACTTCTTCATGACTGGGCCCTCATTTCACAGAGGCTGGCCTAAAGCTCTGAAACGATGAACCCGTAGACAAGGCTGCAGCAGCCTCCTGCTCCCAGGTGTTACAGAGAGGGCGATCATCTTCACAGGACAACAGGGAGGCCCTCAGGGGTGCTGCACCCCTGATGCTGTGGTGGCTGAAAGCAGGAGTGTCCTCCCAAACTGGAGGAAGCCTGGCTGGGCCGCCTTCCCTGATCTCCCCACCATGGCCAAGCTGGAAGCCAAGAGGCTCCTGCAAGGGCCCATCCCTCTCTGAGCTTTGAGCTGGCTGGGGTCAGCCTGAGGAGTGGTGGAAGGAGCACCCAGACCCCAAGCGCCCTGCCTTCCGAACACTGTTCCCAGGAGCAGAGCTCCCCAGCCCCCACCCCAGAAAGTCCCATGGGGGCAGCATCCTCTGGGCCTGATGGCCAGAAACCTGCTTGTCTGACAGTGGCCTGCCTGTGTGGTGGGAGAGGGAGGTGTGGCCTGGAGAACCCTCGGGCCCCTGAGGTTCTGCCAAGGACCCTGAGCCAATGCTGCCCAAAGGGGAAGCTGGTTCCTATCTCTCCCCCAGCCTATGGAGAGCAGCAACCGAGTGGGCCAAGGCTTTGTGGGGGCCTTGAGGGCACAAGGCCTGGCTGTTTGGAACTGTGAGCCATCGGAGACCCTCCTGCCCACCTGGGCATCAGGAGCTCTGAGAAGACCTGGGACAAGGGAACAGAGTCACCCAGTCTCACCAAGATCCTTATGGAGGGGGGAGGTGGCCAGGGAGTGGACACGCGCGGGGTGGGGAGGTGGCCAGGGAGCGGACACGCGTGGAGAGGGGAAGTGGCCAGGGAGTAGACACGAGCAG